AAACCCAGGCTTTTATCATTCAGCTGCAACTGCAGGGCTGAGCAAGTATATCCAGGATTTAACATACATCCACAACTCACACCTTCCCAAGCTAAATCCTCAACATCTATCACCTGTCCGTCTGTTCATCAATGGTGAACCCCCTCAATTACACGGGCAACTAGAACTGGAACCGCGTGCTTGAGAATCCTTAAACGAGGGGGGAAACAAGCAAAACACGCCCACCTGCAAGCAAGCGCGCCTCAACGGTTTCAGCTGAGAAGGTTCTGGCAAGGAGAGGCAGTTGGGGTTGCCGAAGTAGCCTTGGACGAAAGCGCGCAGCTCACCTCTCAGGATAGATCCTGGGATTGGGGGGGGTCCTATATGTTCCTCAGCTTGGTTGCTGGCGAGAGCCCTCTGCAAAAAAGCTTAACGCCTTGATTGTCCAAGAGATTACAGTTCAAAAAGCCTTGAAAACACACCTGTAGGATTCAAAGCAATCAAGAGATTGAATTCCTGACATTCCACCAAACTCCAACCTTTCGCGGAAGCGACCCTAGAACAAGTACGTCGAGGAGCGATGGTGCAAGCAGCTTTTCAGGAACGCTCGACGCCTATCCCTCTGTCCTTTGTGCCCAATCAAAGCATACTCTCAAGCGCACCCGCTAGACATTATGAAAACAACAACATCCAATCGCCACGATAGTGCTCCTTCGAAGCTTGGCTGACGATCCTTGACCAGTTCGTGACTGTCCAGAACAAGTCAAACTTGTTGGGTCAACCGAAGAATATCCAAATAAATGCAACCACAACGCTATGGTCCTCCCTATTGTCTTCCAACTAACGAAGCTGGGGGTGGCGTTGAACTACGGCATCCCTCAAGACAACCCCAACAAGGGTACGGAGCCCGAGGACACTCACACACAAACACAAACACAAACACAAAAGCACAAACACAAGCACAAACACAAACACAAAAGCACAAACACAAGCACAAACACACACACAAAAAAAAAAAAAACACGCACAAACCACACACACAAACCACACACCACACCACACCACACCAAACCACACCACACCACACCACACCACACCACACCACACCACACCACACCACACCACACCACACCACACCACACAACACAACACAACACAACACAACACAACGCAACACAACACAACACAACACAACACACACCGCACACCGCACACCGCACACCGCACACCGCACACCGCACACCGCACACCGCACACCGCACACCGCACACCGCACACCGCACACCACCTCACACCGCACACCGCACACCGCACACCGCACACCACACACCACACACCACACACCACACACCACACACAACACACAACACAACACACACACACACACACCGCCACTCAAATTGATGTCCCCCTGTCTGCTTCAGAGAGGCTGTTGAATCCAGTCAGCCTCTGCTCAAAGAATGCCGCGAGCCTCGAGACGCTCAGTGATACTCGTGCCCGGATCCCGAAGACAAAAAAATCCGACCCGAAGCTCAATCCCATCCAAATCCCTGACAACCCCTGGGCGCAGAGATCGAAACTTCTGGGTGACACCCTTGTGACCAAACGATCCAAGGAACGACTTTGAGCCAAGGAGGTAACGACCCTTCCGGTCCCTTCAAAACCAGCGAGCGCTTTGCATACGAAAAAGGGGTCTGTCTCAGATTGAACAGGTCTGCCCTTTTGTACTGGACCAACACCCTGGTTTTGACACATAGCATGGGGTCTGTCTTCCTTTTTGACCCGATCACTTCGCAGTCAAACACTCAGCCGTGGCACCTCGGAACCTCTATCCTTAAAATAAAGGTTAGAACATGACTGAAACCAGAAAAGCATATCTGCCAGGTCCTCCAGTAGAGAGGTTAGAATAAGAGTGCCCCATTTTCTGTAGTCTACTCTACTAGGGGAACCCTCCCCCAAAAAGGGTAAAACCAGAAAAGCCTATCTGGGTTTGTCTCGGGATGGGAGAACAAACGCAAAACACATACAACACGGGGAGGGGAGGGCAGCGTGGCCTTCCCTTGGGTGTCCGTTGAGTTCAACCCCAAAAGATGCCAACTCCAAAGACACACTGCAACAAGTACGGCACCAAGACTTGGCCTACTCCAAATGCCCGCTTGCATGCTTCCGAAAACCTGGGCTTTCCATGGTACATATACCTCTTTTTTTTGTAAACGGTCGACATCATGTCCCAAAGAAAGGCGGGTATTTGGCGTGGGTAGACATACTCAACTCATTCCAAGCCCCGACTGGGGCCTCGCACCCGCTCATGAATCCTCAAGCTCTGGATGGGAGTTCCCAGGGCGCAGATCAGTGGCCAAGGGCTCGTTCTTCTCCCTGTGGATGGTTATCAAATCCAGTTCGCACCACGAAATGAAACCGTGTTGTTGTTATATTAAAAAAAAAAAGCGGTTTCTTGGCATTTACCGGGGGATCCTCATCAGAAACCCAGTGGTTTTTGAGGTGCCGCGAGATGGAGATCTCGTCCCAGGAGCTGGCCCGAGAAATTGAACGGCCTTCAACTCCAAAGGCCTATGACGAGGGCCTTAGGCCTCAACTTGACGTTGGGCTTGGGGAGCAAACAATGAAAAAAAAAAAAAAAAAAAACAGTTCAGTGGATGTGGAATTTTCGACCGAAAGCTAAACCACAATCAGCAAACATGGGAAACATGTGTCCCAACAACCATGAAAAGGCCTAGGTCTCGGACTCCTTCTGCTCCGAGAAGGGCAAAAGGGGTCTGGAAGTCAAAGGACTGTCTCCAGGCGAAGCCCAGTGGTTGGCTTTTTTCCGGATTCGGGGGAACATCCAGAGTCGTAAAGGGGCCTGGCTGTGGGGCGAGTGGATGTGCCCCAGGTCCAAGTAAACTCTGGGGAGTTACATTGCCACTTTTTGGTTTGCCCCTCACAAAACGTAGCGGACAGGAAGATACGCACTCGTTGCCCCCTGAAGTGCTGAGCAGCGATTTGACCGAAGAGGCAGCAAGCTTTGGAAACTATCCAAGGATGTTGGTCCTCAATGTTGGGAAACACCCACGTGTCAAGATCGGAGTCATACTTTGGCAGTGTTGATGGGGAGAGTCTGGGCTGCTGCCAAGCAAAGCCTTCATGCTCTAGGCAAAAACTGGATTTCACGATTTGCCAAATTCACTCAACCAACTGCAATCATCCAAGGTCACTCCCCTGAACAATTAAATGCCTAAAAAAAGGGGCCCTACCGAAGAACAAACAGAAACCAATGATGCTTCCCCTTGGCGAAGGTCTATGAGGCAAATACCTAAGTCAACACCGAGGGCCAGTCTTTGGGACAGCTAGGCTTGACAAACGCCCAGAGCATCACTCTGTTGGCTGTTCTGCTGAATGGGCTGCCGGGAAGGAGCATCTGACATACAACGGCCCAGTTTCCCGGGTGATTGTCAATGCAACCAAGCCTCCTGGAGGTAGTGACTTTTGCCTTGAGGAAGCCATCCCCAGAAGCAGAGCTGTTTATGTACAGGAAGGAAAACCTTCTTCTAGGGGCTCCGAGAACCGTGGGGGGGTTTAGGATGGAGTTGTTTGGGGGGTATGGGGCAAAGTACTTCAGATATTTGGACCCTGAGTCTCCAATTGCGTAAGCGCGCTGGGGGAAAAAACACGTAGATCCAATAATGATAGATTCCCTTTAAAACCAACAGGGGGAAATAACACATATTCTTAAGCAAATGCAAGCTAGGGAGACATCTCTACTCAAGTCCAAAAGGAGAGCGCATCCGATTCACGGCCCGGCCCGAACTCGGTACTCGGGTTCCCCGCAGGGAGGGGAGGGTCGCTGGCGCGCGACACGCGCTGAGCCGAAAATGTTCAGTCGGGGCAGTCCAAAGCGGGACAGACCCAAAAATCATCCCACCTGCTACGAGCAGGTCATAGTTCACGGAGCATGGGCGTCCAAATACCGCCTTAAAATGACTCCAAGGTAGACTGCTTGGGCTTCATGATCGCTAAGCTCAAAGTCAGAATCAATCATGGCCTATATCTGGCAAGTGGAGCCAGCAGTCGCCCAGTGGTCGCCGGTTGTCAAGGTCCAGCTGTTAAAGTTGCTGATTCTCACAACTGGCAGTTGTGCAAGTGATGACTAAAGATTGTTCCGCTGGAGCGCAATAAGCATTTGATGATATGCGGTGGAAAAGAAGCCAGTTGCATGAGCTTCCAACAACGGCGATGTTTGGTGAACAAGCCAAGTCAGTATATGGGCATATGCACGTATATGCATATATAGGGCTAGCTTGGATGATCTTCCCTTACACTCCAGTGCTGCACAAAATACAGGTGTCGGTGTCGGACTCAATTTTGCATGTCTGTTCGTGTGAGTCTACACATATACCAAAGAGAGCAGCCGGGCCAGCACCATACTGTATTTCCCGCGAAGCTCAACTCCCTGTTGCTCAACGAGGCTCTGACCAACGCAAGCTTCTGGGATTGATATCACCCAGCATTTATGGTGACATTTGAAAACCAAGACATCAACAATGATTGCCACAACCAATCTCAGGAAAACCAATGCTATAGCCTTCAAGCTGTTTACATACCCAGCCACACACATGGACACATGGAGCCTTGAAATCGAAAGACTTAAGGTCACCGCGCAAGACACCTGGTAAACCTTACTTACCCCAGGACGTCCAATGCTGTTCGGAGCCGTGCCTGACTTTGAAGTCTTGCCAGGAACCATCAGAACAGACCTCCAATTGGCTGGCTTGCTCCTTGGTTTGTTGCAAAACCTGCACACCCCACAAGAATTCCAGCACCTGAAATAAGAGAGACATCAGGTGAGCCGACTCATTTGCTCATGTCTGAAAACAGCCATGTTTGGGGAGTAGCCGTTTTTTCTTCTGTGGTACCGAAGCGAGCCGACGATTTCTTACTTTTTACAGAAAATTAGCAACCGATCCCAAATTTCCCCCACCAGGTAACTGCATCAAACTCCACACCTGCCCTCAGATCCAGGCATTGGGGAACTTCAGATCCAGCGTCTGCTCGGTAGGTACCTGAGAAGTTGGAATCAGGGCACAACCAATCTCTGCTTTTGTGGAGAACATTCGAAAGAAGATTGCGTAAATCCTGAACCTCCAGGGGGGATGGATATATGTCCACCACTTATGTTGGAAAAGGCCCCTACGAAATGGTTGCTGGGGTTGCTGGATGTGAACCCATGGTACTCCATGTTGACCCCCTGCTTCCCCACAATTCAGCCAGAAGCGGTAAAGTAAGCGATAACCAGGATTCATACCAGGGGACTACACCACTAGAGTCCACTGATTTCAGGTTTGTCTGAACCACTTGCACCATCGGGATTTGCTTCATGCCATGCGCATGTTTGGTTTGTCATCCCAGCCCCGGGCGCAGAACATGTGTCTCAAAATGTGGAAACCTGAACAGCGGACGGTTTCCCCAAGGTTTCATTCTAAAACACCAGAAACCACGCCCTCAGCAAAAGTGGCTCGAGTTGAGGAGTTCCCTCGACGCCGTTCGATTGCCGTGCGAGCGCATGGCGCATATTCCCAACGCCCGCAGCGTGAGGTTCTGATTCCCAAAGGCACCTTGTCCTCACGTTTCTACCGCTGCTGCTAAACACCCCTGTTTAATGTGCTACAAAAAGGTTTAAAGATTCTATGTGACATGTACATACTAGTACATACTAGTGTGTTCATTCCGAATCACAAATTTGAAAAAGGGTCCCAAGAGGAAATTGTTCTTCCAGGCATCCTCCCACAAATGCGAACTGTTGGTGGCAGGAAGGCATCTGCAAATTTAACTGTAGTTCCAAAAGCTCAACTAACCGATTCCCAGGTAAAGGACCGCGAGTCTTTTTTGGTTCGGCCCGCCCCCCGCAGCTGCGAAGGCGGACCGGCTCAGTGTTACACGTGGGAATGAGGAAGGAACACGCTTGCCCTATCTACAGGATGTATCCGACGCAGCTCTTTGTAGAGCAAACGGGTATTCAGTGGCACACGTGCCAAAAGAGGAAGGTACACGCTCGCCCTATCTACAGGATGTATCCGAAGCATCGGATGCAGCTCTTTGAGAGCTAACGGGTGTGGCAATGCAGTGCTCTCGAATTGGTCCAGGACACTCATGGTCCAGGACCGCATGGCTCAGGGGTTTGGCGTTACAACTGGCATTCAGGAGGCAAGGAAGGGGAAGTAAACGTTGCTTGGGACTGCGGACAATGCCAATTCACTGCTCAGCAGTGGTTTGTCCAGCAGCCGACTAACAACGGTACAGGGTAACTGTGTTGACCGCAGGGCTCCGAGGCGCCCAGGGTATGGGTCCCTCTCGGTCCGCGACCAACATTCTCATTAGTGCTGGAATGCCACAGCGCCGTAGGTGCATCAGCTAGATCGAATGCACCGTCACGTTTCGGGACCCGGCATTGTTCCCAAAGCTTGTAGCCGACTTGGAATTGGTGATGATCTTTGAAACCGGCCTCTTGTTCGAAGGTGATCAGTGGCGGCTGACAGATGTGAACAAGGGCGCTGGCCTGCATCAACGTTTCGTCTCCCCTGCTGTGAAGCCCTGCTTTCGACCCAGGTTCGCTCCAACCGGCGCATATTGAACTGACTGCCCAATTGTTGACAGAGATCATTCCAAAGTCAGCATGCCAGTTGCTGGTGCAAATGTCTGCACGCCAGCCAAATGGAGGCTCAATGCCTGCTAATGTGGTGGGTCCTTGGGGAGCACACTGATTGAACAAAGTTGCTCCACGGTTGTGTGAGTAAGCTGTCGCCACACCGAGGCCCAGATCATTTGCAGCAAAAGTATGTGTTGGAGCGATTATGGGATGCCGGATACGCACAGCGTGCGCCCAACCAACAAAGCCACCACAGAAAATCTCAGCAAGCCTAAAAGGCTTCACAAAGAGCTGCCAATTTGTCTTAAAAGTGGAGCAGTGCGATGTCCACTTCCATGTTCCTGCAGCAGTTTCAGGTTTCCTGAGAGTATGAATACAACCGGTGCCGATCGGTGATTCAAGCCAGTCAGCAACATGAGGTACAGTCTCAAAGGTCAGAATTCATTCGACATCAAAGACAGTCACATGCTCAGAGACCAGAAGGGAGGCCCAAGAGATCATTCCAGTACAAGTAGCTAATGCGTGGTTGTGGGCGAGCACATGAACCTGATCCAAAACGTTGCAACCGTGCGATTTCATGATGACATTTCTTGCAATGTCATGGCTCGTTCGTAGGGAACCCCATAACAGGGCAACCGCGCGAAGGCTCGAGCCGAAACCCTCCCAGGTAAAGGACCATTATCATGGTGAGCTCGCTATACCCCTGAATCGCTGAGCGCCCTCATAAATTACGCAGTGGTTGAGTCCCCCCCTCCCGGAAAAGCCATGGGTTCAAGTCTGCCCCAAGGAAAAAAACAAAAAACGGAACCCTGGAGGAGTTGGCACATCCCCCGGCCCGTTTGGAGTGCCCGATATGCGTCCAATGCTCGGTTGCTGTTGACCGCTCTGCAAAAAGCTTAACTTTTTGTGGGTTTAGTGGAAAACCCCTTGATTTCCCGAAAAGTTAAAGTCTAAAGATCCCACCCAATAGCAGTCAAGAATGCGTCCCGACTGCGTCGGATTCGTGGGATCCTCTTGCTTTGGGGCTGTGGCCGCCAGCCACATGAAGATCAGCACCGAGATCAGCCCAACCGTGGCCACCGCCACCTATCTTCGAATTTGAAGGAAACGGCTTCAACTCAGATGCCCAGTGGATTCCCACAAAACAAGAGCATCCGATTTTTTGGGGCTGCGTGGATTCCCATGGGAAAACAAGGCCATCCGATTTTTGTTGTTGGTGAGGTTTCTTGGGGAACCCGTCCAAGAAAACGGGAAAAAAAAGTGCGCCACTGGGCAACTGGGACCGGAAAGACCAAGCAAGGAAACCTTGGCAGGGCTGTGGTTTGACATGGAATTCACCTTTGTGATGCAACAAAAAGGGCCTAACCTCAAAGACTAACCCCCCAAACATACCCTTGTGTCACAGAAGTGGGGATGACCCCCTTGATCCCACAACCCTGAAGCCTTAAGGTCTTCCAAGGCTCCTTTTGGAGATGGACCAGCCAACAGCCATTCCTAAAGCGGCAGGAACACGTGATCCTATCTAGTTCTGACACTTCTGAGCCGGGATAGACACTTCAAAGGCCATGAGACGCATCACGTTTGGGGAATACCATGATTGAAGCAGCACGTCGAAACTGGCTGCCACGATTCTTGTTCTTGCATTTGAGGCTTTCAGGTTCCAGGTCAACACAAAAGAAATTACAACAATAAGTGCGGAACATTCCGGTGAGAAAAATAGCTCCTAGCAAAACATTGCGGATGAAGGCACTTGTTTCTTGTTTGCGTAGATAATATCGTGTGTGACTTGGCCGTATGTTCTTTAAAATGACATGTGTCCAATTGTCGTAGCACATGTGATCGAGGTATTCCTAGTGATGCGTTTGTGACATTCAGGAAAATATGTCGCGGTTCAGCTGGCTTAGGGATTCAGTAACTCAAGATTTGACAAACCTTCATTAAGTGGAGTGAGTGTCTGGGACAACTATGTACGGCCCCAGAACCCTCTCCATGAACGGCAATCAGTTTCTGTAGCATGTCTAGAAATCTCTCCATCCAAAGCGAAGGCGCAATGGTGCCATGTTGTGCCCATGTCCGGGCTGAACTCATGCGTTGCTGGTATGGTCCTACAAACCTATAAGGGGAACCCCCCAGGCAAAATATGTCATTCAAAATCATATGTTTGCCCAGCTGAGAAAGAAAGAACCCTAACTAAACATGTCATCAAACAGTTATACGTATGTGTACCCAGCACAAAACACAAACACTGTTTGCCCAGCTGAGAAAGAAAGAACCCTTTCCTGGCGCACTCTTGAAGCACCACTCGGTGCAATCGGAACAAGTTGGAAACCCAGAACCTGGCAATACCGACAGATCCGCAGAGTCATACTCCTCATACTAACATGGTTTAATTCCTGGCCTTATCTTACTTAAGCCTGACAAAAAATGCTTTGAGTACTGGCCTGGTCTTACCATGATCAAGTCACCCCCTAAGTGATGAGCTAAAGGGCAACAACGCCTTTCTGACTTTGATAACCCCCAGAAACAGTCAACACAAGGACCCCCAAGACAATGCAAAGACTTCAAAGGGCGGCGAACCGTCACCTCGGGTTTTTGGGTGACTTTCGTGTCAGGATCCAGGTGGCCAGAGAGACCCCGACCGCCTGGATAAAAACGAATTTGCCTGCAACTTTGCAGCTGCTTGGACTCGATGGCCTCATTTTGTTTGCCGCAAAACAAACCAATGAGCACATGGGCAAACAAACTACTCTTTGGTACTTGAATCTAAAGCCATCCCGCACCCCCCCCACCCCCGCGCACCATCCCGCACCCCCCCCTACCCCTCAGTCGGTGTGAGGATCCTTCGCCCGGTCTGGGTCTGAAACCCGCAGCTGAAACTCCAAGCGGGGCCCCAAGCTCGCCTGGATGCCGCTGCCCATGACGCCTGCAGTGAAGCAAAGAACTCAGGTTCCTGGTGGTCATAGTAGTAGAGCATATGTATATGCATATATATGTATATATGACCATACATGTACAATATATATATATATGTATATATATATATATGTATATTTGTATATATATATATATATGACCATACATGTGACCATATATATATATATATCACGGTGGATCCCATTTGCCAATAGCGGCGTCAAACATCTAGCCCGCAAGGCCGAGGTTGCAGCCAGTGGAGGGTCGCACTCTAATATGTGCTCTTTCCCCCATTTTGACTGCACACGTTGAGATCCCCCAGGCCCAAATATCTGAGGTAATTACCCTTCTGCCAAAAGCCATCAAAGGGGTAGTTGGGCGTTCGTTAGAGTCGAACCCTCGATCTAGGAGAGAAGAGTAGCGACCTGAAAGTTGTATCTTCCTAGCCCCTGTTTAATGCCAGTAACAGTACGTGTTTGTTGACAGCATCCTCGGAAACCCAAAAAGAAAATCAAGCAAGCAAGCAACAAAGCAAACAAGAAGAGCGACAGTATATATATATATATATGTATATGTACACATAAAATATGATGTTCATATTATCTCGAAGATTTAGTCAACCCAAACTCTTCCAATATTGTTGGAGGAGACCTCAGGTATAGTCAAGGTCACTATAGCCACTTTGCCGGAACAGGCACCGAGCCGGGCAGCGCGGTCTCAAATTGCGCCCGAATCGAGGTCCGAACTTGGGAGGTTTGTTTCTAGAAAGGCACCTGGACGCTCAAACTGCTCTTAATGAGATAACGTCGGCCATGCCGCCCAATTTGATCATGGCCCCAATCATGATGCAGTCTAATACGCACGCGTTGTTTTCTAGGCCCCTCCTGGCACATTTCCCGGGGTCATTTGCCCACAAGTCGTGCCCCAACGCACGGGCAAGCTTCGGGCAAAATGCACTGCGCGTCAGTGGGAACCACAAGCCAGGGGTAGCCTCTGTGAAATGCGTCAGTGCAATTGTATTGCCCTCATTCACCGCAAAACTCACTGTCAATCTGCCCCATGTGCCGCGAGTGTGCGCGAAACCCAAAAAGGAGATGAACGGTGCCACGGGGCAATTGTGCTTTATCTTCCATTTGGTTAAGAGCCCTAGAAAAAATGGCATGTTTCCAGTATTACAGTATAGTGATAAACTACCTTCAAACCAACCAGGGGAAATAACATATTCTTAAGCAAATCGGAAGTTATGTGGCTCGCCATTTTTCCATGCACCGAACCTTGAGTTGGTTCACCAGGAAATGTACTGCAAGCTCGGCAGCCAGAAGGTGAAATGATCTAAAGCGACGTATGAGCTCCCTTGGTGAAAGCGCTCTTGTTCCGCTCCCGACCCTGCAAAGCGCTTCCACCCCGCCTAACTCAAGTGGAGCCAAAGAAGCAATGCAGTAATGCGACCGTTTGATCAAGTCCGAAACAAAAGAAACGCATAGAAAAGGCAGAAACGTGGTGCAAGGTCTCCTGACACTACCTTTGGATCAAGGCGAAACGCTAACTCCGATATGTTGAAACGTGTGAAACCATTGAGGGCAAGTTCGACTCAAAAACACACGACTGCCGCGGTTTCACTCTTGTGTGTTGCCCTTGCAGTGCCACGCACCTGTGCGCCCAATAGCTTGAGCCAAAACTGCATGTTTACGCGGCCCGATTTGCCGCGGACCACACTTCCGTTCACAAAGCCGTGCCCCAGGGAAAAAGCGACTCGTGTAGGTTTAGTCAGAAACGCTGCATCTTATGCAGCCGTGACCAACCAACTGCAAAACGCTCCGATGTGGCGCGTGCGTTTCTTCCTGCGCGGACGCGCGCAGAACTCGCCAGTGAAACCTTGGGACTATCGGTAGGAGCCGTTGAACGGGCAATAGCCCATGGGTTCCTTTCGTGTACCAACAACACAGACCGTCCTGTGCAAGCGATCGCAACTCGTTTGCTAGAAGCCATTGAACGAGTCCCCTGCCCAGATTTCTTGGAAGGCCCACCGAAGGGTGGTGACCTTGGTTGGGCCGTCGCCGACCTGCGCCAACGTTTTCACTCGGCTGATTTCCCAAGCGACATCTGAGTCATAATCAAAACCCGGTACTAAAATGATATGGTCTACCCAAAAACCATGTAAGGAATGAAAAAGGCCGATGCAGCTAATTCTGGCTGGGTCTTTCCCTTACTATCCTTCCCTTACCCGGGTTTTGATTGTGACTCATCTGCAAATCCGTCAAAGCGATGTCAAGGCGTGACAGGAGAATCTTCTTCGGCCGCCTGCGACCTCCTTGAGCAGCGTCCACAAATCGAAACATTGGTCAAGTACTCATTGTCCGCTTCTGCGCAAGATCTTGCTCAGTCTGCCTTCCTAAAAATACAAAAACGGACTTGGCCAACGATGCAACTTGAATGGTGAGCCTGGCGGACCCCCTACACATGTTTTTTTCCTGCTTGAGGTTCGGCTTGTGTCTGGAAACTCCCCTAGGTCCTCCAGTAGAGAGGTTAGACTAAGGATACCCCTTTTTTCTGTAGTCTATTTTAGGGGAACCCTCCCAACCAAAAAAGGGTGAGAAAGGGCACTTGGCTAGTTTCCTAGTCCCCTTTGAAGGATCCGCCCCTGAAGGAACCTTCTTGGAGGTCGCCGACCAAATGAGGCCGTTTTTTCTTCTTCTTCTGTTGACCCATTTGGTGGCTCAAAATTCCAGAGCTAGGGCCAAGCGCAGATTTCGGTCTTGGTCCCATTTCCCAAAGTGCAATTTGTGTACATTTGAGCCACAGCCATTTGTTTGCATTTGCCCCAAGAGTTGGAGCCGGTTCCTTTTCGAGGTTGACACATGCTAAACTCTTCCGCGACCGCAGGCGGCCAAGCCTCGAGGCCGTCAGGCCGGGCCTTCAAATGGCGATGCCCCGCGGTTCCCTTGGATCGAGAACTCGAAGCCCATCGAAGAGCGACAGCTTGAAGTGGACGTTGGAAGGGGAGCAACAAATTATGTTTTAGCAGTTAAGTGGGGATTTCCCGCTAAACCACAATCAGCAAAAAGTAAAATGTTTTCCAACAACCACCATGAAACACTGATGGGACTTTCAAGTGGGCGTGCTACCTGGCTTCATGGTTGCAAGGCGTGGACTAAAACCTCTGCAGCAATGCTAGAACGAACAACCAACGGGCGTAGTTACTGCTCGCAGCCCGGCTAACCTGGAATTGCAAGGACTTACCCTATCCTTGTGATTGTTTGGTGACACGGGTGCCTGTTGCAAATGGTGAACTGCCTTTGTGGTCACAAGGCTCTTGTTGGACGATAAAAGGGGAAGCAATGTGCAAAGGGCACTTTACACAAGGGCCCCCCAGCTCAGAAACGCAAGGAACAACTTGTGGAATCGTGCATCTCAGCTGACCAGTTTGATCTACAACAAACCCGCTGAGGGAGCCCCAAGCAACGCATCTTCGGGGTGTCCAGGCCCGTACTTAATTGCAGTGGCACTCTCCATCACCAGCACTGCAAGTCCCTGAGGTCCCAACAGAATGAACAAACATGCTTTCGCAAAGTTCACCAACTTAGATGGACTTCACCAAAAGGTTTCAGTTGTAAGGTTCCCTCATTAGCCCACCAGCCAGAGTATGTTTCTTCAAAACATACTCAATGAGCAAAATCCCGATAGTTGGAGCGCAAACCAACAGCTGCGATCCACCCACGGCACACGACAAGAAAGATGTTTGCAGTTCCAGTCGTGCAAACACATTCTGTCCTAAACAAGGGCAAATTGATATTTCCTTCGGGATTTCTTTGGAGGGGCCTGCAGAGAACTGATGAAATGAGGTCTTGTGCCCGCTGGATAGAGGGGACCATCTGAATGCAGCATGTATATTGGTCACCATGCCCGGCCTGCGTTCGGGAAAATCAGTGACAGCGATTTGTTAGGTCAAGATCTGGGTGCTGTTGCCTTGTTAGTTGGATGGCCAGTCACTCGCAGGGTGGCTTAAACGTAGTAACATGTCCGCCTTGGTTTCTGTCTTCTTGTTGAGGGTTCCTGGATTTTTCGTGCTGAAACGGAAACCAAAAAGAACACCGAAGCCATGTTGGGGACCCAGTACCCTAGGAGAAGACACCCCATGCAAATATATATATATATATACATATATATATATATATGTCTTTACATGCGTATATATATATATATATATACACACATTGATGTATATATATATATATGTATGGTACCCCCCCCCAGGGACCTACCGTTTTGATGAATTCACTGGTATTTGCAGTGTTTTCTACCCTTTTTTGGGCTTTGGGGAGAGCAATGAAAAAGAAGCCTTTCCAAGGACGTTCTGGAAGCTTCAGGCTTGGTTGAAACCGATTTAAACCGATTTAATTTGCATCGGGCATGGATTCAAGATTCAAGATTCAAGAATCCAGGCCAAACTTTTCCAGGGATTCTTGAATCCAGGCGTCGATTTAAGCCGATTTAAACCGATTTAACTTAAATCGGGCATGGATTCAAGATTCAAGACTCCCTGGAAAAGTTTGGCCTGGATTCTTGAATCTTGAATCTTGAATCCATGCCCGATTTAAGTTAAATCGGTTTAAATCGGTTTAAATCGACGCCTGGATTCAAGAATCCCTGGAAAAGTTTGGCCTGGATTCTTGAATCTTGAATCTTGAATCCATGCCCAATTTAAACTTAAATCGATTTAAATCGGTTTAAATCGAGACCCAAATTCAACATTGCACTTTGCGCGGCTGTACTTTAGCACAGTGTTGTGCAAGCATCCAAGTCCTGATTATTCATTCAATCTGTTTCAATCTAGGCCCACATTCAAGATTGCAGGTCAAAGTTTTCTAGGGAATCTTGAACCCAGGCTCAACTGAAATTTCAGTCGGTCTCAATGGGTTTCACTCGGGCCTGGACTCGCGTTTGCAAAGAAGACTTGTCTAGAGAATATGGGTTCTTTCCTTATCAAATCCTGTTAAAGCTCATATTGAATTGCAAGTATATATTGGGAAAGGAACTCTATTTAAACTCGCAATCTCAAATTTGATTACCATTAGGATTCTGACCAAATATTTCCGTATTGAGTCCCAATTAAATCCTGTTCAAGTTCAAATGAGCATTTAGAGAGCGTTCGTTGGTGGAGATGTGAATTGAGTATGAAAAACGCTACACAACACTGTGTTTTACGGTGTTTTCTGACCAAGGTAGTGTTAGGACTAGTGAAAGACACAAGTTTGGGACCTTTGGATTCTTTCCTTATGCATTCCACTTAGTATGTTTTATCAAATTCAACCTTATTTCTGTTTGAAATTCAATGGAGCTTAAGAAGGACATACTCCAGCCAAAATTGCGATTTAGATTCGAACTTAAATATTGACTGTTTATGTCAAATTAGATGGTACAAACTATTTTCTGTCCAATAGACCATTGTACATTGAAATTCAATCACTTTCAAAACTAGCTAGTCCTAGTTTGGTCCTAGTCCTAGTTGGGAGATCCTTGGCTATAGGCCAAGTATGGTCCCAGCTTACTGAAATACATAGAACGTGTAAAGGACATTACAAAGGAAGTTCGTTATGAATTGTAGTTAATATATTAGTCAAGTTCTATGCAACTTCTAGCTGAACAATTAAATTTGAAATAAGGAGAATATCCAGTCAGAATTTACATGTTAGGACCAAATATTAAACAGGACTTTTTTTCCACCAGAATGTAATACTTGACATCCAAATACTATAAGAAGTAGAATTAAATGGTCTAGTCCTAGTTTGGTCCAGATGAGAGATCCTTGGTTCTAGTGTTAGGTTGCTCCCTAGTTTACTGCAACAGTTAGAAAATATACAGGACATTGCAGAGGCGGTTATACTTGAAGTTCATTTTTTGTAAGAATCTGAGGTGGGTCGTCTAGTCCTAGTTTGGTCCTAGTCCCAGTTCAGAGATCCTGGGTTCGAGTCTCATTTGGTTCTGGTCCTAGTTGAGAGATCGTTCCTCCCAGTCCTAGATGGGCAATTCATGCACTGGAGAGGCAGCCAAAAGGTAGGTCCCTGGGGGGGGGGGGGGTAGCATATATATATATATACATATATATATATGTAATGTTAATGTATATATATATATAGATACGTGCGTATATATATATATACACACGTAAAAGCCCTTCACAAAGTATGATGTGCATTCAGCAAACCTCTGGCTGCCTGGCGAAGTCAATCGTTGATTCGTTGCTTCGTCGATTGCCCGGGCTGCCACACGAAGAGGCGGGCTGCGCTCCGGTGCAGTGGGCAATGCACTCCAGCGCCTCCGAGTTGCCAAGTTCTTCGGGTTCCGGAGATGGAAATCTTAGGGTTCTTCGGGTTTCTTATATGGAAATCTTAGGGTTCTTAGGGTTCCACTTTCTGCTCCCCTGCTAAAAGTGAATAACTTTTAGTGGTTTAAAACGCAAAACCCTTAGTTGGCAAAAATGTTCAAGTCCTAACATCCCTTGGCAAAATGCGCCAAGTTCTTCGGGGTCCGGAGATGGACCTCTTAGAAAGTCGCACCCAAGTCATGTGCAAAAAAAGTGCCCACTTTCAATCCATGCCGATAAAATGTCTCAAAAATGGGAGAACCCCCAAGATTGGTGGTTCCCCCCTTCTATTCAACATAAGCAAGGGGTAACAAAAAGACACATATGGGGGCTGATCCAAGGTCCTTTGAATGAGATAACCATCGGTTGGAAAACCACTAAGATGATATTCCCCGCATGGGACAAGTTACCCATGCTCAAAGCAGGGGCCTAAAAAGCGGAAGATTGATTAAGCCCCATATTAGGGTGTGGCTCAAAATTCACCAGGAGGGGTTACGCAGGTTTTGGTCCATTTTTCCACTTACCATGGTTCCATTTTGGTACCGGTTTTTTGAGCCACAGCTATATGTGTGTTTCTGTCCCCGAAATTGTTGGATGGCTTACAAGCAAGGAAACCGACAGGACACCCACCTGAAGTCTCTAAGTTTGAGAAGCCCCCCATGTTTTTTTCAGAAACCCTAAGAGAGTGGAACCAAGCAACCCTTGGCCAGACCTCCGATGAACCATGGCCTGGACTGGCTCAGGGAAAATGAACCCCAAGAAAGGGGCAGTACTCATTGTCATTCCCGATTTCGCACCAACAAAAAATCCACAAGCAAAAAAGAACAACTCCCCTAGTGGAGAAGAAACAAATAAACTTATACACAACAAAATAATACATCCCCTAGTGGAAAACAACAACAAACATCAAGTCCAGCAACTCAAGAAGTGACTCGCACACTTCCTAAACAAAGAACTTGCTGGTTCTCAGCGGGGAATGAGGGAATCACCCAAGAAAAACCGTCCATAGCCTATGGTTGCCTGGAAAATCCCCGGATCCAGTTCATTCCCAACAACCAGACTTCGTCATTGCCTACCTACTGAGCACCAGCGAGTTAATCAGACCCAGGCAGTCACGGCTCCTTCGGACCATGACCCTCCCCGTCGTTCAACCGTGGCGCATCTGTCCTCTTACTTCACTCCAAAAGACAACTCCTTTTCAAGATTGGGCCGAAAGGTGATGTTGAAGCTACCCAAAAGGGGAAGAAAGGTGATGTTTGCACTACCCAAAAGGGAAACAAAGGTGATGTTTCTTACTACCTAACAGGGGAATAGCGAGACTTTCAACTTGCAGGGCGTAATAATTTCACGCAACTTGCGAAATGAATGTTGGCCCAACAAGACAATGCTCGACAATATCGTGATGCGTCCAATCAGGTAGGAAAATTGGACTCTACCGTGTCTTCTCTTCGCAACTGCAATGCCCGGAAAAAAAGAAATAAAGCACGCCACCTGGGTCCCTATAGGCTATCAATTCCATACGCTACAAAGCCAGGTAGCGATTTCCTGAAAAGAACCAAGCACATGCCCAGCGTAGTGTGATTCTCAAATTAGGTCAACTTTGCACTGCAGCGAGCACACCTAATTGAGCAGGGAGAACCTCCGAAATCTACTTTCCCATGATTAAACCGTCACAACCTGACAACCTCAGCCCCCACTAGCGAAAACTCGCTGCTCAGTGCTCACTGCTCTCTCCTCAGGTCCCGGAACGGGAGCATTGTGTCAGTGTCCCGTACTTCCTCTATGATGTGCCGATAGCTGCTCTTGCTACACAAACTCATAAATATTCAGAAATAGATCGTTCATTCCAAGGGATCTTACGTCTTCCATGCAATCATGACATCATTCTGGATGAGATTCACTCCAGAACATCGAATCAATCAGACCAAGCCAGCGCATCTGTGCAAGATGACAAAGTTGCACTACAATCCTTGAGAAGGATTACATCCCCTTCAGACCAAGGTCAGCGCGTCCAGCGGCTCAAACCCCCCTCCTCTTGAAAGACGTTTACAGGAAGTCAATAGAAAATCAACGCATGTGACAGGAACAAACACTTCCTGCGACCCTTTGATACACAAATGTTTGCTCGAGCTTTTGTGGCAAATAAGTGCCAACACATGCAAACACACGGATTGGAGGGCAAAGCATAGTGTTTGGAATTGCGCCCGAGTTGCAGACCATTGCGCCCGAGTAGCGGCAAATTGCGCTTGAGTTGCGGGTTCGCTTTCTCTCGAGCACCACAGCAAAGCAGCTAGGCAACCTCAAAAAGTGCTCGAATTGCATTTGAGCAGAAAAAAGCTCTCGAATGCCAAAACCTGTCCGGAGCACTTTTTTGCGTATCAAAGGGTCCTCCAGATCATTTAAAAAATAACGAATCATAAGGAAGCGATTTGGACACCGTTTCTTTGTACGGATTCGACTTGTACTTTCCCATGTCGGTGCCTTTTTGCACTCTTTCGATATGCCAAAGCCTTGCGATCCCGAAGATTTGCCATCCGGCGCGGCTGACCTTCTCGCTGAGCTCATGCCCCTCGTAGGCCGTCTGCCGAGCCAGCGGCTGCCTTCGGCACACCGGCGAGGCGAGGTGCCCGAAACAACCACTCTGAGTTTCCAGGGGGCCATCTGGTGAACGTGGCTTGGCTTTTCAGGGTGACCACTCTGATTTACAGCAAACATCAGCAAATAAAAACCTGGTTGGTGTCTAATTTTGGTCGAAAGCATCAACCAAATACCCAACCGCAAACCGAAGCTGCAGTGGAGTCCCAAATTGTGGAAGGTAAGTATGGGTATGACCGCGGGCAATATGATGATTTGTCCCCCAACAGGATATGGGATAATTCGCGTGCCAAATGGGGTGTGGGAAATTCGGGTTCTTCCTCTTGTCTTCCCCAAAGCAACAATAGACAACCCATGGTTTGATGTGAGTTTGTTTGGTTGGGACCCCTGTGATCAGGAAGACAAACACGGAAGTGTATGCCACCCAACAATTTCAAGGGATGTTCCCCATTAAGGACGCATAGGCATATGCGTGCTTCAAAATAGGTGGACCCACTCCTCATGGCGGTGTTCCTCTTCGTTTCCCTGTAAACCAAGCCATCAACGGGTACCCTCAACAAAACACACGCTAGTGCAGTGCAAGGGAACAATCGAACTCCTGTAAATGGCTGTGGCTCAAAAAACCGGTACCCAAAATGGAACCCTGGCAAGTGGAAACATGGACCAAAACCTGCGGTTTGCCCCTCCTGTTTCATTTTGAGCCACACCCAAATGACTACGATGTGCGCGTATTCAGCTTGCAATATTGAGGACCAGTTTCCCCGGGTGATGCATCACTTGACGGCCCCTCGGGAGATACAAGCGGATCATTTTGCCTTCGGGGAGTCGAGCCCATGGCGGGCCGTTTGAGCCCCGTTCTTGGGCACTTTCGAGGCTTCCCTATACATGTTGCCCAAAAAGTAAAGGCTTCCATACATGGGTATTGAAATTTAATGGGGGACCCTGTGGTAGCCATCATTAAGTAAGGGATGTATGTCTGCCACGGTGAGGGAGCTTCCCCAAAACGATTCATTCCCCCATGTTTCCATACATGTAGCCCCTCGAAAACCTCTTTGTTTTGCCTGGGCGTCGCCTTTTGAGGGTTTTACAATTTCTACATGTGCTTCTTCCTTCTAAAGGAGCCCTTATAAAGTCTAGAACTTGTGAAACCTTCAATCTGCATGTCCAGCATACGTCCCCACTCCCCTGGGACATCTTCCACTTGGATCCGTCTGTCGATTCTCGGGAAGCGAGGGCCCTGCCGCCGGGCCAGGTTCTCCTGGGTTCGATCCCACACAACCCGGCGACCATTTGTTTTGGTCCAAGCGTCGTATATCTATGTTTGGTAAAAACAAACACCCTCCATTTACTCAAGTCTCCTGGGAAAAATAACAATATGTCCAGTCGCGATAGTTTTCTTTCAGGACCAACAGGGGAAAAAAAGAAATATTATTAACCAAATGGAAGGAACCTATGGATGGGTGTTTCAACTGCTTTGAAGCGATTGAAGAACACCCCAAAACGGGCTTCCAAAAAAAAAAAAACATAGGCGAGCCACATCATGAGTCAACTTGGCTTCATAGTACCCCACAAGCCCGTGCCTGTGATTTTGGCCCCTATATCTTGACAGGTTGCCTATGCGCTACACCAGTCTATTGACTTTCGCCCTACTATGTTTCCAACAGGGCAAACGGACATTGTGCGAGAGGTAGTCCAACAAAAGCAACCATAATATCTCAACCCCCTTGGATTCCTTTCGGCAAATGCAATTTCCTGGGCTATTAGCAACCCAACTAATCAAATATACAACAACATCCAGACTTAGACCCCCTGCAACACCATACATACATATATATATATATATATGTATATATGCACATCTGATTGCTCTTTTTCAAAACTCAACATGTGGTGCACCATGAATGAGCTGCCGTGTCAAGGGCCACCTGCCGAATTCCCCTGACTCATTGTTCGGCGCATTCTCAGAGGCTGTGAAGAATCGATTTCCCACTTACTCGGTGGCGAGATCTGCTGTCAGCCCTGCTAAAGTGAGTTTAACCTTTCCCTTTTAGTGGCTTTTAGTACGGAAAGCCCGACTTAGTTGGATCAAACAGTTGTTCAGTCCTAACAGCCCTTGGCAAAATGCACACAAGTATATATATATATATAGAGAGAGAGAGAGTGTGTTTATTTGACGCGCAAAGCATGGCATAGCTCCCTACACCTTCCTAGGCCTGCATGGCCTTGAAAAAAAGGGTAGAATGAACATAAAACACCACTGTCGGCGTCCCAAGGGGATTCACCAACGAGAGGCGAGTTCTTTCGGAAAACGAGCTCCGAGGATCAAAGAAAGTGGGGGCTGGCCGGATGGTTTCCACTATCCCCCAGTTGGCGTAGGCGGCCTTTTGGATAAATGGATGGGTTTCCCTGGTGAACGGAATAAAACCCATCTCAACCAGTGGAACCTGCATCTAGTTTAACCAAACAAGCCTAAAAAGGACACTCATGATCCAAAAAGGAACCTCACATATTGGAAGGAAGGAGCAATTGAGTTGGAGTGTCGGCCATCATTTTCGAATCTTTGAAGGCTAGCAATGAGACGCGGCAGATCCACGTTTCTTTCGGTTATTCCCTCAGCCGAGCACCGTTGGGGCACCGTCTCTGACATGCTTGTACCTTTCAAAGTTGGCTTGGCGGGGAACCCTAGGGAAACTCGGTTGCTTTCTGCTCCCCTGCTAAAAGTTTAACTTTTAGTGGTTTAGTGGAAAACCCATTAGTGGGCAAAAAGTTCAAGTCCTAACATTCCGTGGCAAAATGCAAGAAAGGAAAGCCACCATTTGGGCAACCGTTTCACTCCATTTCTCCGGGGCTAAGAATGGCCCATCGGTCAAAGACTCACCAGGCTCCTGAAGCTCATTGAGTTTCCCGACAAAAGCCAACCAAAGCAAGGGGAACCACCCTGAAACTAACCTCAAAGATGGAAATCGCCCCGCCCCACCATTCTTGTTAAACTACCCTCAAAGTTGGAAATCCCCCCAATGATTTTTTGTTTCTAAACTACCCTCAAAGTTGGAAGTCGCTCCACCAACAAATCCGCCGACAAGAGACAGCGTGTTGGACACAAAAAATGCCCAAAACCACCATTTCAGACTATTGCGGGGGGGGAAAAAATACATAAAACGGCATTTGTAACACTAAAACCAAATATTCAAACAGCATACAACAAAATCAGCAAAATTCACAGAAAACAAGATAAGAACCACCAAGCAACTAAAAAACCAGAACAACCCCCAACAAAATATTTAATCAAAGCATAAAACATTAAATAATTCAAACAAGCATACCAACAAAACAGCAAAAATAAAAACCATCAAAGAACACAAACTCAAAAACACACAAAATCAAAAACAAAGCAACATACCATCAAAAAATATCAGAAGAGTATCAAACAAAATAAAATACAAACAGCCAAAGCACGAAAAAATCAAAAGAGCATACCAAGTTCAAACAACGCACTTTGAAAGAGTCAGCCAAATCAAGGAAAAATAAAATATTTCAATCTTTACAAACCATAAGTACAGTATAATTATAACATATAAGATTTTACATGTTATTATTATAGTATGATTATAATTTCAGTACAGGATAATAATTTAATTGACAAATCTTTCTTCTTTCATACATCATTTTAAAAATAATATTAATATCTCTCAATGTATTTTGAATATTAAACTTTTTACTTTCAATAAATAATTTGATATTTTCTTTAACATCTTCTCCTTTATCTTGACTATAACACAACAACCATAATATATCATCCATCATTTCATATTTTTTCTTACTGATTTTAAGAAACTGTTTAACATAATCGTAAGGTGGTATTTTATTTACAGTTAGAAATATTAAAATCTCATCTTCTACATTTCTATTATGTCTTCCTTTTATTCTCAACACACATTTGATTAAAGTTTGATTATCTCTCCAATTTATACAATTTTCACGGCGCAGTTGCAGAATGTGCAGATGTCAGACTAGGATGTATCACACAAGGGTCATGTGTGATGGAATGCACCATCCCACAGCTCAAATCTAGCATCCAGCATGTCAGATTCAGCGTCCAGCATGTCAATTTCAGCATCCAGCATGCACCCAGCATGTCAGATTCAACATCCAGCATGTCAGTTTCAGCATCCAGCATGTCAGTTTCAGCATCTTACATGTGGCTTTCGTCTTTGTTTGTGCTTCCATCATGCAAGAAGTATTGGCACATGCCGACGCTCGACTTCATCTTCGGTCGGGCACTTGAACAGAAGCCTTCGGGTTTGGGTGCGTGTGTGTTTGGGGGGTCCTTAGGTTGCCCTTTCGGATTTCCCTCTCGGTGGTTTTTGGGGTGTGGGTGTGTTTGGTTCTTTTCTGGTGTGAGCGCGTCCCCCTTAAAGGCTTCGCCTCATCCGCGATGAATGCAATGATGGTGGATGTTGTGATGAACCACCCTAATTCAAACTCACCAAGATTTCACTAATTAATTCGCTAGGTATTTTGTATAAATCTTCCTGCTTATGTATTATTGGATTGTCTCCCCATTTTTCCTTAGTGCCCGATTGTAGCCGTTGTGCTGTTTCAATATGTTTATTATTCCTGATGTTGCCACAATCCTTTTTACATAAATCTTTAGGTTTCCATGTTGTAATGTTATTCCAAAGCCTAGTTCTCTTTCTGTAAGACATTCCATATTTACAATAATCTACATCTTTAAAATCAAACTCATCCATAAACTCCTGATTTTTTAATAATCCAGTTTGAGGATTTTCGATTACAAAATACTTAGGATTGAAATATTTGATAATCTCAATAGTTTTTAAGACAATACTATTTGCATATTCGATATTCCTAATGCCCCTAGTTTTTGCTACACTATATTCAGTGCATGGAGGACTTGCCCAGATAAAATCAAAATGGTTCCTATCAAATTGTTTATAATCCCATTTCAAAATATCAGTATTTATATCAGCATTTTTCAAATCCAATGAAATAACATTGAAACCGAGCGACTTTGCAACAAGTCCAACACTGCCTGTTCCGCTAAACATCTCTAATAAGTTCATTATTAAAGATATTTAGATAATATTATCTATGAGTAAATGCAACTTTATGAATAAACCCCTGTATCTTCATCATAGTCGATTTGATAAAATGTCATAGTTGAAGCCTTCGGTTCTTTAATTTCTTTGTTATTAAGTTTGTTTAAATACGTTTGTTTCTTATTTTTATATTCAGCACTGGTTCTATCTACTTCTTTACTTTGATAACTGTTTGTTAATGGTTTCTTCTTTTCCATTTCTTGCAAGATTTCTAAAATATTCTTATTCTGTTCTAAAACCTTGTTCAGTTTTTTAACAATCTTTTCTAATCCTTCATCCATGTAAATATATATTATATTATAAAATAAAACTTTTAAAACTAAACTTTTATTTTACAAAATCATATATCATTATAAGTCAATTCAAAATTAGTTATTGTGTAACTCGTTAAATTATTATTCAATTTACCAATTAAATTACAAATAATAGTTTTTCTAAATTTTGAATATTTATGAAACTTTTCAATATTATCTGTAATATAAATTATTAAACATTTAATACATTCAAACACATTAACAACATTAATGTTACTATTTTTGTAAATATTATTCATTTTTCTCAATGTAATTTCATAAAACTGAATAGCATTTTTATTATCATAATTAGCAATAAATCTTAAAGTATATGAATATATTCTTTTACAATAAAATTTTAAATCTGATTGTTCAAATAAATCAGCATAATTAATAGAATTATAAAACATGTTAAAATCAATTTTACTATTTCTAAAGTCATTAACAAAATTAATTAATATATCATTTTCGTTATATTCTTCAATAAAATTATTTAATTTCAATTCTTTTACATCAATGAATTTAATAATATTATTTATAACATCTTGCATTATAAATAATAATAGAAATAATTTTAACTATTATTTTTTCATCATTCTTTCTCAGGTGTAAATAACCTACCAAATCCACTTTTGAAGTTTTCTACCCAACTTTCTTCAACTGTGCTACCGTCAGCATCTTTCTTTTTTACTGTATGTACTGTATGCATGTTTCGACCACATGAACACGGCCAACATTTAACTTTGACATGTTCTTTATCTAACTCTAATTCATTTAGCGGTTTAATTGCTTGACCGCATTTATCGCATTTGACACATTCAATCTCTTTTTGTTTCTCTTGCTTC